TTGTGGGATTAGTTAAGTTTCAAAATGGGACCAGACGAGACTAATGCCTTTTATGCAGGTGGATATTGTTGTTGACAAGATGTGTGAAAAATGATCGATAAACAAATCCTTAGATAACTGTCAGATGATACACTCCGTAGCATGAATCACCAGCAGGGCATTGAATCGATACCAGAGGTTTACATCAGCTACCCAACGGCATGTAAGTAGCCGACAGCGTTCCACCAAAGAGCGGGAGGCAGGTTTCTCTTGATTGCAGCAAGACGTCATCACTTCGTGACTGCCACCACACTCAGAAATGACCTGTGGAACGCCAGTGGGGTTAATGTTTCTACTCAGACAATGCGTAATCGTTTCGACAGGCAGGGACGTTTGGTTGGGCTGAAGATCACGTCAGTTGGACAGGCCGGGACTGGGCTCTAGTACATTTCACTGATGAATCCAGATACTGTTTAGACTTCACAGATCGTCGTGTCCAAGTGTAGCATAGACCACGAGAAAGACCATTTTTTCAGACTTTCAAGGTAGCCGGACACGATGAATTGGGATGGGATCAGTAGACCTTGAAGAACCGATCTCCATGTCCTTTACAAAGAATGATGACAGTTGTGTGCTAGAGGAGGGATATCTTGGATGTGTACGTGAGACCGTATGTTGGTGTAATCGGACCGGACTTAATCCTCGATCGCGGACGATAACACCTGATTCGTACTTAGTGCAGGAGACAAAAGTTTGCACGTACTGGCCAGCCCAGTCACCAGATCTATCGAGCTCATGTGGAACGAAATGCAAATCGCCCTCTCGCGACTCTACAGGAACTCGGAAATTCTCTTACTAAAAAGTGGAACAATCTTCCCTTGGCAACCATCCAGACACTTACTGGGAGTATGAGAAGGCGGTGCCAGCTTGTGATTGCATCATATACGCACCACTGAGCGTTGATTTTTTGGACAATGAATTTGATTTCGTGATTTTGTTTTCCGATTTGATGAGGTACTTTCATTTTGAAGGGTGATCTGACTGATTATTGGTCACATGTTGTTTGCTGGCATTGTCTTTGGCTATTTCAACAGACGCACGCAATTTTACGTCTTATACTTGGTGATCCTATGCAAACGTTGAGAAGTATATTTATCTTTATTTTATTTCATTTTATCTCAATTTAAGGTTCGTGTCGACCACAGTCAAATGTTTAAATTATGAAGCCACGATAAGAAAAATGAAAAATACGTAAGAGAATCGAGGATGATCAACATTAGTACACAGTTTACTGTTCACGATGCTTGTAAGAAACGCGACAACACAAATAGAGCATACACTGGGCACACACAGGACACACACAGGGTACATAGACAACACAAACAGAGCATACACTGGGCACACACAGGACACACACAGGGCATATAGACAACAAAAACAGAGCATACACTGGGCACACACAGAACACACAGGGCATATAGACAACACAAACAGAGCATACACTGGGCACACACAGGGCATATAGACAACACAAACAGAGCATACACTGGGCACACACAGGACACACACAGGGCACATAGACAACACAAACAGAACTTACACTGGGCACACAAAGGGCACATAGACAACACAAACAGAGCATACACTGGGCACACACAGGGCACAAAGACAACACAAACAGAGCATACACTGAGCACACACAGAACACACACAGGGCATATAGACAACACAAACAGAGCATACACTGGGCACACACAGGGCACATAGACAACACAAACAGAGCATACACTAGGCACACACAGGGCACATAGACAACACAAACAGAGCATACACTGGGCACACACAGGACACACACAGGGCATATAGACAACACAAACAGAGCTTACACTGGGCACACACAAGACACACAGAGGAATAGACAACACAAACAGAGCATACACTGGGCACAGAGAAAACACACACAGGGCACAAATATAGCATACACAGGCCACATACAGGGCACAAATAGAACACACAGCGCACAAATAGAGCATACACAGGACACATACAGGGTACACAAAGAACAAACATGTTCATCGATTTACGTAATGGGAATACGATGACATGCATCTACCAAGTCAGCGAGCCTGACAACACATCTCGTCAGTCGCCTCTCATAACCAGCATAGTCGTCTCTCACGAAAAACACAGGATAACAGTATGACATCGGTCGCACCTGTAGCCACATTTGTTAGAAGCTTCGGCAATACGGGTATCTATTCTGTGCCGGAATCCCCACGGGAACAAGAGACCAAAAATACCGTTTAAACATTATGGAAACAATTCAAAACTAATTTTGATTCTTAACATACTGTGCGAGCCTGACCAACCGATCACGTTAGTCGCCTCTTACGACTCGCTGACTTGGTTGATGCATGTCATCGTATTCCCATTGTGTGGATCGATTGCCTGGACAAAAACCACATAAAAATCGTAAAAAGTAAAAGTATGATCACTTACCTTTACAGTTTAATCTTTAAAGCAAATATCCTAGCTCTGAAACTGCAGCCGCTTGGCCTTCTGCACCAGTATGATCAAGTTGTGAAGGGAGGATAACTCTTAGTGTTGCTTTGATTTGTCTTTCAGTCATTTTGTGTCCCACGCCCGATGATATCACCATTATGTGCGTTTACAAAGGAGTGCAAACTCTTTGAAATGTTGAATGTTTACTTTACACATAAGGATAAGAGGGGAAGAAAAGAAGAAAAATATTTTATTAATGTGTCACTTGATGCATAAAATCAGTAACATTGCAAATATGACATGAATTAAAAGTACATCCACCGGCCAGCATTGGCCTACGAGACCGGAATATACGTATTACATCAATAGTTAAAATATAAAATATACAGCAATGCATTAAAACGGGATTAATTGGGTAGTGACATGATATTAAGAACGTGTGTGACAACGACGCTTATACATTTTTGTTAGCAAAACGGCTAACTTATTACATATTGAATCATTATTCATTATATAATTAAACTGGTCTGCTGGATTAAGTTGTACGAAGGAGGGGTCTAAACTAGAAATAGAATTAAACAAATTGTAACGTAAATCTGAGTAAAGATCACTAGTTACAAGGAAGTGTATTTCATCCTCAACACAGTTGGTACAAAACTTGCAGAGTCTATTTACTAAAGGTGTTACAGGTTTTTAGTATCTCCCTAATTCAATCTCTAAAGGCAGGGTTCCACACCGGAATTTATTCAGAATACTTCTTTCATATCCATCAAGCGAAGCACTGACATACTTCTCAATATAAAAATCAGTTTAAAATTGTCTATACGTTCTTAGCTTATTACCATTTACTAAATTTCTATCATTCCATAATTCTACAAGCCAGAGATGTACAGAGATGTATGAAGTCTTTGGAGTCTTCAGATCATAGGGGGGGCACGGATGGCCCAGTCATCTAAGGCGCCGCGATTCGCTGTGCAGAGTTGCGTCCCTTGGGCACGCCAGAAACCAGTGATTGTGTGTTCGAATCCCGGTTCGCCCCGATTATGTTTCTAGGTTTGTCAGCACCATACCTGTGCTCGTGGGTTTCACCGAAGTGGTAAACGTCTGAGACCTGCATCACTTCGGGCTTTCCTCCCGCATTAAGCTGATACGCCGCGATATAACTGGACTACTGTTAAAAGCGGCGTTAACCCCATCTCACTAACTCACTCACTCACTCTTCAGATCATAGAGTCAAGCCTAAAGATGGTAGTAATGTTACGTGGTTCTGGCATATTTCTTCCTCAGTTCACAAACTGGCTTATATATAGCAATATTCGATATGTCACTCAAACTAAGTTCTTCGAAGAAACAATTGAAGTAGTGATGCTCACATTAATTATTAATGATCACACCATGTGAGGTTAGTGGAAACAGATACAAACTTTCCATTTAGGACAGCCATACTTTGGATCATAGCCGACTGGGACAGAAAGAGTTTATTTAAATTCAGTTGTCATATCAATGACATATCTAGCACTGACATCAACCACTCTGAAGCAACGTTCATCAGGTTCACCTTCTCCATTGGCCAAATTTTGAACAAATGATTCAACAGCATAAATTATGATTTTAGTTGTGATCCTAATTGATAGCAAGGTGTTAATATTTGGGTCATATTCGAAAAACTGACGAAGGTTGTTGTCAACACTAGAGAAATCACACGTGATTATATGACATTATAAAAGGTTTGGACTTGTGCTCATTTTCTGTTCTGAAATCCTTACCCTAAACCCTGTTATAAAATGTAATGCGTTGCGAAACACACAACAACAAAATTAGTAAGTTTCAATCTAGTTTGGTGTATGATCGCTGAAATCCTGGACAATGTTCACTTGTAACATATACCACCTTCTGATATATGCTCTCTGTCATTAACAATGACAATATAGCTACTATGAATTTGTCAAGTGTTTGATTTGCGGGGATGTTTTTGAAAAATAATAATCAGTTCCCAAAGTGCTGGAAAACATCCCTTCCCACCCAATTTCACACCAAAATACTCTATGTTCTGAAACAAACTGTGATCCCAAAACAGTGTTGAGCTCTCTCACTTAAAATGCCTGGCACTCGGCATTCTAAGGTGAGGACTGGTCGGCTCGGAGTCGGTGTTCTGTGTTTGTGTGTGGTATTCATGTTAAAACTGCCGCATCTCATTGGGCCAGCACTATAAAATCGGCATTTGTCCAGACTAGTACAAACAGCAACACGCAAGAACACGCACATCCACCCACCCACCTTTCCACTTGCACATAGCGATCTTAGAGCTACGACGATCGTTACTCCAATACTTTAACATAGAATTCTGTAACGCTAATATCGGTGTGTACAAGTGGGTCCTGAGCAGTTTAGATTTGGCCTGCGCCAGAGACACGTCAATTTATTGTCGTTGTAGACCAACAGACAGCAGGTCAGAGACACGTCAGTATATTGTCGTTGTAGACCAACAGACAGCAGGTCAGAGACACGTCAGTATATTGTCGTTGTAGACCAACAGACAGCAGGTCAGAGACACGTCAGTATATTGTCGTTGTAGACCAACAGACAGCAGGTCAGAGACACGTCAGTATATTGTCGTTGTAGACCAACAGACAGCAGGTCAGAGACACGTCAGTATATTGTCGTTGTTGACCCACAGACGGCAGGCCAGAAATACGTCAGACGTATTGCCTTTGTAGACCCACAGACAGCAGGTCAGAGACACGTCAGACGTATTGTCAGCGAAGACCTACAGACACACTTGGGTCAAGCTCTAACTTCTATAAACGGGAAACATGCCCGAAATTCCATGCACAGTATATTTCAGCTGGTGTGGTATATATTGTGGAAATCATTGTTAAACCTCGGTGGCACTGCAAGTGCCAATTGTTTTGCTCAGGGACCGACCATTCAAAGTTCTGGAGGAGGGGAAGAGCAGTGTTGGAAACAGTAAAAGAGTTTTGCCTTCAAAACATAAATTCTGTGTATTGTAGAACAACATGTAAGGGAGTCACAAATCACTATTTATCAGATCAACAGATTTATCAGGTTTGCTAAACCTGAGGATAAGTTTTTACAGTATCTTTGGGAACAGCATTTCCCTTCCCAGAATATGAAATGGTAGGACCCTTATAACGTATTACTATTCAGCAAATAGCACAAGTTGATATTAAATAACTTCTTATCACACGAAAAACATGTTTCTGAAGATCAAGGCTAAAACACAAATGAACAAATGAATAACGGCGCATTCTGCCTAATTGTGTAAAATAAACTTCATAGGAACTGTTCAGGCTGTCCACTGACAAGTAAAATCCAAATAGGGCGGGTACTATTTCGGCGAGTCAGGCGCGGTATTCCCGCATCCCAAACTACCACCATCGCTAAATTCAGTCGCCCTTATTTAAACTAGTGGTAGAAACCTATGATAAAGGCAGTTATGCCTAAGAGAATCACTGCATTTATGTCAAGTAATAATTTGGTTCTTGGCTTCTCCTTGATGGAGGTCAACTTTGCTTGGATGGCCTTCGACTCATCTTCAGAGAGCTTGTCTGGTCGCTTCTGTAGGCCGCAGCACGTTTCCAGTCTTGACAGCCATTTTGGTGTCCCTGAAACATGCAACACACCATTTTCTTCATGGTTGGGAGTTCTTCCAGGCCTCCAAATTCATTGCATGGGTGCCAATGGCATGGCTAGAATCTCATAGTACGGTTAAAAAACCGTTTCCGGAGCAACAGCTAACAAATAATATATTTGAAACAAAACCTTTTATGGTATGAAGCCAGTGGAACGTCTAAACAGCTTGATGCTGCTCTGTGGCACATTACAAAAAACACCTTTTCTATCCTGTGATGGAGTGGTCGGTCATTTTGGGTCTGTCTCCACAAACCACAGGACAACTGAGTGAGTGAGTGTGTTGGGTTTAACGCCGCTTTTAACATTATTCCAGTCATATCACGGCGTGTCAGCTTAATGTGGGCGGAAAAGCGCGAAGTGATGCAGGTCTCAGACGTTTACCACTTCGGTGAAACCCACGAGCACGGGTATGGTGCTGACAAACCTAGAAACATAATCGGGGCGAACCGGGATTCGAACCCACAATCATAGGTTTCTGGCGTGCCCAAGGGACGCAACTCTGCACAGCGAATCGCGGCGCCTTAGACGACTGGGCCACCCGTGCCCCCACAGGACAACTGAAGGTTCTTGGGGACAAATATCACTAGCATTGGTAAGGTGCTGAATGACAAATAAAGATAATATTTGGAGCCAACTGTCAGCTGATTCTACCAAGGCTAAAACACTGCCCCGGAGCTACGATGTATTATATTTACAATGAATGAATTTGTTTTAATCAGCAGATATAGATTTGAGCTGTGCTTCTGTCCGGGCCACAAACCAGAAACAGACAGAAGTCTGACGTAAAAGATTGAGATTATTTTTTTGAAATGGTGTATATAATCCATATATTATGTTTATCTTTATTTGACGAGATGAAGTATGCTGGAAAACATAATATTACCGTTTCCATTGTTTGGATCATCGCCGACGTCAGCTTCTTCTTCGTCATCAGTGAGATCGGGCAGTGTTACGTCATTTCTGGTCCACCACGTGACCCGGTGTAACTAAAGTATAAATACAACACTTGATTGGAAACTCTTAGAGATAAATGAAGGTCATGTACATAGTTTTGAGTGAGTGTGCTTTTTTAAGGATGGAGAGGATCATATTCCCCTTCCGATTCTCTGCGTTCATTCTCTGTACGAGAGTGCTAATTTAATTCCTGGCTTCCATTTGTCCATTGCTAATCACCTATCAACGTTCATTAACTGCTTGTTTTCCTTGCAATTTGCGAATATCTGGTGTCATCACTGATTTATAGACCTACAGGTGATAATCTACGTCCGCTCAATAGTACTCCAATTCCTACTCTATCTGGATGCCCTGACCAAGGGCGCTACTTGACATTGACATTATTCCTAAGATTAAGAAAAGACAAATATTTTCGAAGTGATTCAAAGTTTTTAGTCCACTCGCCCAAGTACTTCTATATACTTTGAGTGCAAACGTCATGGTTTTCTAACTCGAACGAGAACTATTTTAAAGGCTTATCCCACTGACTAAGATGCAGCGCTATTTTTATACTACCACATCTGAGCGTTTCATGTTACTGCATTAAGGAGAGTTACTTGAAACTGTGTAGCCTGTACGCCTCTATCCTTGTAAGAGCAAATGTTTGCAGTAATACGTATCTTTACTGTGGTAATCTGTCTTTTTGTTTGCCTGTCAGGGATGAAATGATCCTATCGTTATATGATCGACAAGGTCGTCTGCTATTCATCTGTGTGAAGCAAAATAAGAACAGCGATCTGATTGGATACCGCGTTTTCATTATAAGGGACACAACTCGTGTTCTACACCAGGTGGCACCACGATCAAGGCCCGAAAATTAGGTTTGAAATAACAAGGGTGGAAACAGGCGAGTGATACATTCTAGTGGACACACGATCATGCCTCGGAAAGACAACAAGAATTGGGCTTCTCCTTGTACCCATCTGGGAAATCGAAAACGGGCTTTCGGCGTGACTGACAAGAGAATGCTCTATCCTCCAGACTGATCATAAAGGATAAGGGACTATGTACCACGAACATGTACCTTCGACCGGGAGCGTCTCTCAGTCAGGAGACTCAGACTGATCATAAAGGATAAGGGAATATGTACCACGAACATGTACCTTCGACCGGGAGCGTCTCTCAGTCAGGAGACTCAGACTGATCATAAAGGATAAGGGAATATGTACCACGAACATGTACCTTCGACCGGGAACGTCTCTCAGTCAGGAGACTCAGGCCGATCATAAAGGATAAGGGACTATGTACCACGAACATGTACCTTCGACCGGGAACGTCTCTCAGTCAGGAGACTCAGGCCAATCATAAAGGATAAGGGACTATGTACCACGAACATGTACCTTCGACCGGGAGCGTCTCTCAGTCAGGAGACTCAGACTGATCATAAAGGATAAGGGAATATGTACCACGAACATGTACCTTCGACCGGGAGCGTCTCTCAGTCAGGAGACTCAGACTGATCATAAAGGATAAGGGAATATGTACCACGAATATGTACCTTCGACCGGGAGCGTCTCTCAGTCAGGAGACTCAGGCTGATCATAAAGGATAAGGGAATATGTACCACGAACATGTACCTTCGACCGGGAGCGTCTCTCAGTCAGGAGACTCAGGCCGATCATAAAGGATAAGGGAATATGTACCACGAACATGTACCTTCGACCGGGAGCGTCTCTCAGTCAGGAGACTCAGGCCGATCATAACAACGCCTGACACTGCCGTCTCTATGGCAGCTACGTACAGGAAGTGGATCTTCAGGAAGTAGATGCGGTTGTCTTCCTCGCCGCAAGGTGGCGTTGGGTACACAAACGCCAGGATGAGACGCGAAAACCCGACCGCTTGTCCAGCCAACATGCCGAAAAATGCAGCCTGCAAAAGAAACGGACAGCAACATATAAATAATACATCTGAAAAATGAAGCACCGCTAACTTTATATTTGCATATAAAATTATATCATTTTTTAAAATCGATTACTATTTGTAACAGGTTTGTTTTTGTTTATACCTTATACGACAATACAGAAACCGATATCGATTATGTATCGACATCATTTGCAACTTTTTCGAGTTAATATTTCTTTTCCCTCTACTTTCAATGACTTAATTTGCAACTTGAAATCGTAGAAAATGACCCAGTCCTTGGACCAACTGGAGGAACATATTATGCTCTTATACATACTTTTCAGCAGGTGTGGGTGTATTAGTATATTCTCAAAATGGGGTCATTGTGATATGTAGATATTTACGCAAGATACATGGAAGGTCGGAATATAAGAGAGTATATAGTAGGAGCAGTGCTTAATGTTTTTCAGGTGTATATATCATCGATGGGCCGGACAAACCTTGTCATCTCACTGCCTACTCCTGTTAATGCCATCAGACTGTCGACATCAATTTAATGTTGAAACGACGTCAAATAATGTCTAAGACGTCATTAACAGTACACAACATCACTGTAAAATAGTTACGCTTGTTTTAAAATTTTAAGACTATCAGATTAGGATGGCTGGGGATACCAATAACATCTCGGTTTCAACAATTCAAGGAATTTTTTTTCGGATCGTGTCAATCAGGTACCTATATGATTTTCGAAAGGAGGGTGTTTCAAGCACCAACCCGTCGTCCAATCCAATAAACCTGTAGCGGTCTTATTATATCTGAGTACACTGATGAATTCGAACCACGGATCCGAGATCGGACGCCTTGTCCACATGACCAAAAAGGTTCACCCCGTCAGCAAGGTACGGATGCCATCTTATGGATGACTCCACGCCCTGTAACACATTCATGCTACACTCATGGTGTCTGCTACTCACAGGCTCTGTTGTCCCCTTCCAGAAGAAGCCCATGATGAAGACCATGGCCCACGGGGGCCCGACCGCCGACATCAGCATCTGCCAGTACTGCCACAGCTGGTCCCCTTGTGCTGCCTGCATGATGGGAATCCACATGATCGCCAGACCAACTAGCACAATGACGACCACCCTGGAAAAGACAGGCATGAGATTTCTTGAAAGACGTAATATGTTGACCAATGTCAACGGATCGAAATCAGAAGTGGCTCCAGACTTTGGACTCTTTATTATCTGTCCAGTCGGTGTTATCCACCGACACAGATTCCATTGGGCGTAAAAGGTACAATAGTGGTGATCCTCTACATGAATGGATCTCTGAAAAAAAGTAAAGAAGTCCCGCCCTACTAAAAACGCCTCGCAATTGCGATCCGATCGCTATCAAAGGTTCGCCTAGTCACGATGGGGCCGCGATTTTATATGTTATATTTTATTTGCCGTGCCACATCGTTATCGGCGTCAGTTTTTTTTTTTTGCAGTGTGTGTTTTGTACACACGTGGTTTCAACATATACTATTTGTGAAGTGGAACACTTGCTTCGACCGTTACGTAGCATCTCACGTCAAGTTAATATTTCCATACAGCCGAACATTTATATACAGTATTGGTCATCCAAATGTCGTCTTTTATATTCCGCGCGGAACATTTACAGACAGTATTGTTCATCCAAATCTCGTCTTTCATATGCCGCGCTGAACGTTTACACACAGTATTGTTCATCCAAATGTCGTCTTTCATATTCCGCGCTGAACGTTTACACACAGTATTGTTCATCCAAATGTTATGTTTCATATTCCGCGCTGAACATTTACACACAGTATTGTTCATCCAAATGTCGTCTTTCATATTCCGCGCTGAACATTTACACACAGTATTGTTCATCCAAATGTCGTCTTTCATATGCCGCGCTGAACATTTACACACAGTATTGTTCATCCAAATGTCGTCTTTCATATGCCGCGCTGAACATTTACACACAGTATTGTTCATCCAAATGTCGTCTTTCATATGCCGCGCTGAACATTTACAGACAGTATTGTTCATCCAAATGTCGTCTTTCATATGCCGCGCTGAACATTTACACACAGTATTGTTCATCCAAATGTCGTCTTTCATATGCCGCGCTGAACGTTTACACACAGTATTGTTCATCCAAATGTCCTCTTTCATATGCCGCGCTGAACATTTACACACAGTATTGTTTATCCAAATGTCGTCTTTCATATGCCGCGCTGAACATTTACATATTGTATTGTTTATCCAAATGTCGTCTTTCATATTCCGCGCTGAACATTTACACACAGTATTGTTCATCCAAATGTCCTCTTTCATATGCCGCGCTGAACATTTACAGACAGTATTGTTCATCCAAATGTCGTCTTTCATATTCCGCGCTGAACATTTACACACAGTATTGTTTATCCAAATGTCCTCTTTCATATATCGTGCTCAGCATTTTACTTGCGGAATTGTCACGATATGACTGAAATATTACCGATGCGACGTTAAATACGCGCGTCCGATGTAAAGTCACCGACTTTGATATTCTGGTGGAAAACTGTACTATTCTGTACGGCTCTTCCTTGTATGCTTGTATTAAGTGACCGAAACAATTTCCTGTCTCCAACAAAACACCCAGACACACCCAATCCCCAACACCGTACTCTTCTCAATACGCACCTTCCAACAATGAGCAACTCGAAATCCTTGGCCTGCTTCCTGTATCTCCTCCACAAGTCCATGGTGAAGATGCTACTGGCAGAGTTGAACACTGACGTCAGTGTACTCATCACTGCTGCGAACAGCGCAGCCAGCATCAAGCCTCTCAGACCTACAGCGTGTGAGTGAATTGGCCTTTACGTCGTAGAGAAATATACTATCAATATCACGGCGAGGGACAACAGAATTGTGGTTCACATATTGTACCCATGTGGAGATTCACCAGGCCGATACGACCCGTGAAGATCCGGGGTAGAATAGGTCTTCAGCAACCTGTGCTTGCCGTAAAAGGCGACTACGCTTGTCGTAAGAACGGGATCGGGTGGTCAGGCTCGCTGACTTGTTTGATGCATGTCATCGTATCCCAATTGCGTTGATCGATGCTCATGATATCAGCAGTAGATTGTTTGTTCCAGTCTCGATTATTTACAGACCGCCGTCATGTAGCTGGAATATTGCTGAGTGTGGCGTTAAACAACAAACAAACAAAAACAAACAAAAAAACCAGTCTCTATCAACAACCCCATCAATAAATGGTCGGTATAAACAGTTTATCTGGCAACGTGATACTACTTAGAACGGATACGCTTAGGTTGATGTTGATTTTGTTTAACGCCGCACTCAGCAATATTCCAGCTGTATGGCAGCGATGTGAAAATAATCGAGTCTGAACCAGACAATCCAGTGATTCACATTGTGAGCATCGATCTACGCAATTGGGATACGACGAATGCATGAACCAAGTCAGCAAGCCAGACCACCCGATCCCGTTAGTCGCCTCTAACGACAAGCACAGTCGCCTTTTACGGCAAGCATGGGTTGTTGAAGACCTATACTAACCCGGATCTTCACATGTCGGTTCCGCTTAGGGGTTTCTCTATTAATTTCAAATCTTAATTATTCAATACAAATAATAAATACAACAAATAATTTGCATCACAAACTCTATTTCAGGATTGTTGATGACGGCAATGGGCTTACCTGGGCCGAGGATCCTGACGACGAGTAGTGGGTATGCTATATTTGAACATCCGGTTGGATTATCACAGATACACTTGCATACCTCAGGATCCGCGCACGCAACTTCGTCTGAAACAGTCATGACCATATACATGCTTTCATTCAGTAAGTAGGGGGCACGGGTGGCCTAGTCGTCTAAGGCGCCGCGTGCAGAGTTGCGTGCCTTTGCCAGGCCAGAAACCCTTGCTCGTCGGTTTCACGGAAGTGGTAAACGTCTGAGACCTGCATCACTACGGGCTTTCCTCCCACATTAAGCCGACACGCCGTGATATAACTGGAATAATGTTAAAAGCGGCGTTAAACCCAACTCACTCACTCACTCACTCACTCACTCACTTACTTACTCATTCAGTAAGAAACATTTCATTAGTAGGATGCATTGGATACACAATATAATCCTGAGAAACAATGAGTTAAAATACAATGTCTTTTTAATATGAAGTTTTTAGTTTATCCCGAGCTTGTATTCTGTATGTTATCACTGACGGACTACTTCCACATTCCCGTGGATACCGCTGGGAATTCCCTGGCACGAATGTCTATAGAAGCGTTGTTAGGATCAATTAGCCTTCAATCTGGAACTCGTTATTTTGCATACATGTATGCGACCTCCGTGCAGTTTGGCCTTCACGTTTTGAAGGTTTACACAAAGTGAAAGTCATTTCGTAAATTCATGATTCATGTATATCAATCTTATAGTTCACAATATTTCACAATGACGCCTATTACAATTCAGAGATAGAATTGAAATGGGGCGCAGTCCCTCTTTACTAGCCACATCTCTTGGACAAAGATGATTATTTCTACCCTGCCTGGCGCTCGCACATAAACACGCACACATGCGTACATGCAAGTCGCTATATAAATGCAGCAATCCTGAACGCGATTTTAAAGCACATTTCACCTCACCTCACCGCACCTTACTTCAGCTCACCTCACAGCACCTCACCTCACCTCACCGCACCGCACCGCACGTCACCTTACCTCAGCTCACCCCACCTTACCTCACCTCACCGCACCTCACCTCACCTCACCCCACCCCACCCCACCTCACCTCACCCCACCGCACCTCACCTACGCCCCGCTTGTGACATGCCTGTGAGGACATTGTCTCCTGGTATGTGTTTCCATAGATGTGTGTACAGTAACCCCATTAGTAAGATCGGCGCTGGTCGAGATATACTAGTGGACCGAGTGCGGTTAGTGTTAGTCGACTGTGTAAGAGTGTGACGATCCGAGTTACCTGGGTAGAGAATCCTTGCTACCATCCCTGGCACCATGAACAAAAAGAAGGGGAGGATCTTCAGGTACCCCGCCAATATAGACCCGCCCTTAGCGTGGGACAGATTCTTAGCTGCAAGCGACCGTTGTACCATGATCTGCAAGAAATCATACAACATTCTTGACAGACCGTTGTACCATGGTCTGCAATATACCATACAACATTAGCCAGAGACGTTGTACCATGATCTGCAATAAAGCATACACTATTAGCAAGGGACCGTTGTACCATGGTCTGCCATAGAGCATACAACATTTGCCAGAGAAGTTGTACCATGATCTGCAATAAAGCATACAACATTATTGACAGAACGTTGTACCATGGTCTGCAATATACCATACAACATTAGCCAGAGACGTTGTACCATGATCTGCAATAAAGCATACACCATTAGCAAGGGACGGTTGTACCATGGTCTGCCATGCAACATTAGTAAAGGACACTTGTACCCTGATCTGCAAACATTGTTTGGTCATTCCTTTCACGCAAAAGAATTGTATGGCTTGTAGTGGTGAGTGAAACATACATTGTATGGTCTTTCCGTTCGTACAAAACATTGTATGACTTGTAGTAGTGAGTGAAATACAGTTTGTCTCCATCTCAAATCCCATGAAGGTATCAACATTTGCTGTAAAGAAAGTTGACGAATCCATGGCATTATCATAGCTAGTCTACAGAAAATTAGTTTTTGTCATTCTGAAAGAAAATGATTCTTGTATTCAATTTCAGAGGTTTATTTTCATTTTTGTTTCCTGTTAAAAGTTTTCTATATGGAAAACGAATCACAATTCCAACAATGTCGTCATGATTGTTATACATGAAAACAAGGACGTCAGTTGAGAAACAACGACCGCTCCCAAAAAATAAATAATGAATAAGTGGGGTAAGTGAGTATTGTTCCATGTCCCTTGTAGCAACATTCCAGCAATATCACGCTTGGGGACACCAGAAATGAGCTTCAAACATTGTACCCATGTGAGGAATCAAACCTTGATCTTCGGCGTGACGGGCGAACACTTTAGTGAGTGAGTGAGTATGGTTTTACGCCTCTTTTAGCAATATTCCAGCAATATCACGCTTGGGGACACCAGCAATGATCTTCACACATTGTACCCATGTCGGGAATCGAACCCGGGTTTTCCGCGTGACGAGCGAACGCTTTAACCACTAGGCTACCCGACCGCCCCTAGCGAACACTTTAACCACAAGGCTACTCCACCGCCCCATAACAAATAAGATGTGATGATTGAAGTGAACAAAGGGAAAACATACGGATTGACGTGGCTCTTTACCAACATTCAAGTCACATGACGGAAAGGACAAACGTTACTCTTTCCAATATGGATTCCTTTCAGTGCTGGCCGAGGTCCAATTATTGGACTGAGTCGAGCCGAATGTATTTGATAATTTTTTGTACCTGATCCGAACACCAGAACCAGATGTCGCCGGGGATGTTGAAGATCATAGTTCCTGGCCAGGGGTAGTCGGACTCGAGGGGGTCCCGGAGGAGGCTGAAGGAGTCGGCCCGGGGGATGCCGCATGTCGTGTTGCCATATATGGTCGTGTTAGGGATTGCTCGCATGAACTTTGTCTCCAGCTTGTCGTAACCTCCTATCTCTGAGATACCTTCAACAGTAGAGTGAGTTGGGGAGTAAGATAAAAATAAAGTGACAAAACCCTTTCCATATCCAATAGAAATATCTAAGCAGAGTCGAGAATACGATTCCGACTATAACATGAGCATGTGTTCTTGAATCACTTTCAAATAGAGTTGATACCAGGTGTTCGCGAAAAGTTGAGCGTATCCTGCCCCATGGGTGGCACCTGTCACAAACACATGCAAAGGCAAGTCAATTGTTCACCTGAACAAAAACACTGGAACATATGGTACAAGTCAAAATAGGTAATTGTATCGGACATCATTTTTGTCACTGATGCGTCAACTTTGGATATGTCCTAAACATGTCTACCATAAAACTTTTTGAAAGCTTAACTGAGGCCTTTAATGTTGAAACCTTGATCAAACAACTTCTGAGCAATAGTCGGATGACGCACTCCAGAATATACTGGGAAAGTACAGTTTGAAGCGGGCTTACCTTATTCCAGAATATACTGGGAAAGTACAGTTTGAAGCGGGCTTACCTTAGTCCAGAATATACTGGGAAAGTACAGTTTGAAGCGGGCTCACCTTAGTCCAGAATATACTGGGAAAGTACAGTTTGAAGCGGGCCTACTTTAGTCCAGAATATACTGGGAAAGTACAGTTTGAAGCGGGCTCACCTTAGTCCAGAATATACTAGGAAAGTACAGTTTGAAGCGGGCTTACCTTATTCCAGAATATACTGGGAAAGTACAGTTTGAAGCGGGCTCACCTTAGTCCAGAATATATTTGGAAAGTACAGTTTGAAGCGGGCCTACTTTAGTCCAGAATATACTGGGAAAGTACAGTTTGAAGCGGGCTCACCTTAGTCCAGAATATACTAGGAAAGTACAGTTTGAAGTGGGCTTACCTTATTCCAGAATATACTGGGAAAGTACAGTTTGAAGCGGGCCTACTTTAGTCCAGAATATACTTGGAAAGTACAGTTTGAAGCGGGCTCACCTTAGTCCAGAATATACTGGGAAAGTACAGTTTGAAGCGGGCTTACCTTATTCGAGAATATATTTGGAAAGTACAGTTTGAAGCGGGCCTACTTTAGTCCAGAATATACTGGGAAAGTACAGTTTGAAGCGGGCTCACCTTAGTCCAGAATATACTGGGAAAGTACAGTTTGAAGCGGCCTTACCTTATTCCAGAATATATTTGGAAAGTACAGTTTGAAGCGGGCTTACTTTAGTCCAGAATATACTGGGAAAGTACAGTTTGAAGCGGGCTCACCTTAGTCCAGAATATACTGGGAAAGTATAGTTTGAAGCGGGCTTACCTTATTCCAGAATATATTTGGAAAGTACAGTTTGAAGCGGGCTCACCTTAGTCCAGAATATACTGGGAAAGTTCAGTTTGAAGCGTCTTTAAACGGCGACCGAAAAGAATCACCTAGTGTTCCTTCTTATATTTGGGTCAATGTGGGGATTGACTTAAAAAACATTAAAAATTAAATTATCATTTATTTTTGTCTAGAGCTAGTTGTAACTGTCGGGCAGCAAAGTTAAGGAGTAACAAAGGGTGATAGTGTGGATTCAGTTGAGACTGGTGCACTTATTAACCACCGAATCAGATTAACGCTTTATTTCAGTGAGTGAGTTTGGTTTAACGCCGCCTTGACGTGTGCCACTTAGGAGAAACCCCCGAGCACGGGTATTTACCTCTGAACAGCACTGGAAGACGAGACCTACCTCTAAACAACAGGAAGAAGGCCCCTCCCGTCAACACGATGGTCTGTAGGGTGTCCGTGAACATTACCGCCGTCAGCCCACCTGTCACACACCGTCACAAAGTATCTCAGTAAGCGTCATATGATAAAGAATGGATGAGTGAGTAAGGTTGATTATCTTTTAATTTAACATTGCTAATATTTTGATATATGAGCTTAATACGAGAGGAAAGCAGGAAAGTCCAGTCAAGCTGACAGGCGAAATATCATAACTGCGGATCAAACAGCAAACATAGTCCATAGACTATTAGGCAACTTAACCCCCAAGTGATAGAAAACTATTGAAACATTTTATATGATAAGTGAAATAATAATCTCTTACTCTGAAGATCAACGAATGTATCTGTTCATATGTTAACTGTCAAACAGATATGAACAACATATGTTTCCATATGCGGTTATTGTTGAGTATTCGATGCCCGCTTATTTCATTTGCGAGCATATGCGTTTATCGGAGATTCCAAATCAAATATGCAATAACAACCACGATTCTAAAAGAGACGTCTATTGACGTTATTAATACAACAGTTAAAAGTAAATTTGAAAAGCAAATTAATAAAATAATATATATGTGTAGTAGACATGACGTCACTCCTAAATAAAATCTCGGCGTAAGCTTCCATGACAACCGAACGGCCAGGTACGTAGAAGGCAGAAAAGATCTCTCCGTATAAATTTGTCTGTATAAATGTAATTCAGACTGAATATAAAATATATTACAACACTTCATCTTCAACAATATTGGACTGACAAACATAATGGAAATTTTACACTTATATTTTCTCGAGAAAATATCCATAGGGCGTATAATCATTAGTCACGTGTTTCAACCAATTTGATTTAGGCACATTTATTTTACTCTGATGTTTTAATCTCTTAAATGAGAAATCGACTATTATGTTTATATATTCACAAGCTATATATTCACCTAAATTAGGACATGTTACATTCACAGGGTGAGTGAGTTAATCACGTTCTATGCAGTCTGGTTCCATACCACGGTGAAAGCGGTGAATTGGCTTCGCAACATGTTACAATTTGGGCATCGAACCCTAATTAGATGCGTATCCGGTGAACGCATTTAAGATTAGCTACTTCACCTACCTTTTAGAAAGAAAGGTCTTTGTAGCAGTATTGTATTGTCAACTAAAACTAATGATCAACGTACAGTTCTGTTATTTATTTACAGGTTACCTGTCATGGTGAAGGCTGCTGAGAAGACCAGGACGAGAATCCCAGAGGCATACATACTCCACCCCAGCAGTAGCTGAACAAACACGGCCCCAGCGTACATCTCCACCTTCAAACATATAGCGTTGGCATACATCTCCACCTTCAAAACATACAGCGTAGGCATACATCTCCACCTTCAAACATACAGGGTAGGTTTACATCTCCGCCTTCAAACATACAGTGTAGGTATTCATCTCCACTTCAAACATATAGTGCAGGCATACATCTCCACCTTCAAATATACAGTGTAGGCATACATCTCCTCCTTCAAACATACAGGGTAGGTTTACATCTCCGCCTTCAAACATACAGTGTAGGTATTCATCTCCACCTTCAAATATACAATGTAGACATACATCTCCACCTTCAAATATACAGTGTAGGCACACATCTCCTCCTTCAAATATATAATGTAGACATACATTTCCACCTTCAAATATACAGTGTAGGCATACATCTCCACCTTCAAACATACAGTGTAGGCATACATCTCCTCCTTCAAACAGACAGTGTAGGCATACATCTCCACCTTCAAATATACAATGTAGACATACATCTCCACCTTCAAACATACAGTGTAGACATACATCTCCACTTCAAATATACAGTGTAGGCATACATCTCCACTTCAAATATACAGTGTAGGCATACATCTCCACTTCAAATATACAGTGTAGGCATACATCTCCACTTCAAATATACAGTGTAGGCATACATCTCCACTTTCAAATATACAATGTAGACATACATCTCCACTTCAAATATACAATGTAGACATACATCTCCACCTTCAAATATACAGTGTAGGCATACATCTCCTCCTACAAACAGACAGGGTTGGCACACATCTCCACCTTCAAACATACAGTGTAGGCATACATCTCCACCTTCAAACAGACAGGGTAGGCATACATCTCCACCTTCATACATACAGTGTAGGCATACATCTCCGCCTTCAAACAGACAGGGTAGGCATACATCTCCACCTTCAAACGTACAGTGTAAGCATACGTCTCCACCTTCAAACATATAGTGTAGGAAAACATCTCCACCTTCAAATAAACAGTGTAGGCATACATCTCCACCTTCAAACAGACAGTGTAGACATACATCTCCACTTCAAACATACAGCGTAGGTATAAATCTCCACTTTCAAATATACAATGTAGACATACATCTCCTCCTTCAAATATACAGTGTAGGCATACATCTCCTCCTTCAAACAGACAGTGTAGGCATACATCTCCACCTTCAAACAGACAGGGTAGGCATACATCTCCACCTTCATACATACAGTGTAGGCATACATCTCCGCCTTCAAACAGACAGGGTAGGCATACATCTCCACCTTCAAACGTACAGTGTAAGCATACATCTCCACCTTCAAACATATAGTGTAGGAAAACATCTCCTCCTTCAAATAAACAGTGTAGGCATACATCTCCACCTTCAAACAGACAGTGTAGACATACATCTCCACCTTCAAACATACAGCGTAGGTATAAATCTCCACTTTCAAATATACAATGTAGACATACATCTCCTCCTTCAAATATACAGTGTAGGCATACATCTCCTCCTTCAAACAGACAGTGTAGGCATACATCTCCACCTTCAAATATACAATGTAGACATACATCTCCACCTTCAAATATACAGTGTAGGCATACATCTCCTCCTACAAACAGACAGGGTTGGCACACATCTCCACCTTCATACATACAGGGAAGAAGTACATCTCCACCTTCAAACAGACAGGGTAGGCATACATCTCCACCTTCATACATACAGGGAAGAAGTACATCTCCACCTTCAAACATACTGGGTAGGTATAGATCTCCACCTTCAAACATACAGGGTAGGTATACATCTCCACCTTCAAACATATAAGATAGAAGTACATCTCCTCCTTTAAGCATACGGTGAATTACATCTCCACCTTCAACTATACAGTTCAGGGTTCCAAACATATGTGGGGTCTTTTCCATTCTCAGTCGTCATGGAGACATAAACGTGGGGCACTGGGGATATATATTGTCCCGGAATCTCCATGGATTCACAGACATGGGGTACTTGGGATTTTTTCCATCCCGGGATCTCCATGGAGACACAGACGTGGGGTACAAGGGATTTATTCTCTCCCGGAATCTCCATGGAGACAGAAATATGGGGTACTTGGGATTTATTCTCTCCCGGAATTTCCGTGGAGACACAGACATGGGGTACAAGGGATTTATTCTCTGCCGGAATTTCCTTGAAGACACAGACATGGGGTAGTGGGGATTTATTCTGGCCCGGATTCTCCATGGAGACAGAAATATGGGGTACTGGGGATCTATTCTCTCCCGGAATCTCCATGGAGACACAAACATGGGGTACTGGGGATTTATTCTGCCAAGGGTTTACTGCGTGTATCAATGACTCATACCGATATCTTGGTGATGATGTACAGCACTATAGACAGCAGAGACAAGTACACCCTCAGCCTCGTTCTGCCGTATCGCTTCTTCAGGTACTCGGGCATAGTAAACACCTGGAAACAGTTCAAACATTAGGCAGGTCACACCAGGGTTAACTGTAAGGTGACGTATGGGATACTAGCGTAAACACAATTTCATACCACCACACATCAAAACCGCACCAATGTTCTGCAAAACGATCATATTTCTTAAATATTTTTCTTTCTTTTTAAGCAGCAGAATAATTGCACTTGTACCAAGCAGACATAATTCAAAATTAACGTATCGTTTGTATTAGTTTCAACAAAATCAGTAAACGCACTATCGCGTCACTGGATTTTCTGGTTCATCGATCACTTGATTGTCTGGTTTGGTAACAGGCAGCTGTCGTATGGCAGGAGTACTGCTGTGCTGCGTCAGGTAATAAATACTTACGTTTTTATGCAAATTTGATAAAAGACGGTTCTAGCGGTAGGGCAGGACATGCGTACCCTTTTCGCGAACACCTGGCGTCATCACTGATTTTCAGTGGACCTTTCATAATATAATTTTCACAGCTATTCTGCATTTACGTCAATTTTTAATCTGTTTCGGCGCATAATCTAGACTGGTTATTCTCTTGCATTGACAATTTATACATTTTGACAGTTTACATAATATACAATTCTTTTATAAGAGTGTACTAGTCCGGAGCTTTGCCGGTTTTATAGTGCAAGCCGTTCATATTTGAACGTATTTTATGGTGACGCGGCCAGGGATCGAACGAACGACCTTTCGTTCTCGGGGTCGACGCTCTATCCACTACACCACGAGTTAACTCTAAGGACTTACAGTAATATACAAAGTATATTCTTGAGTAAGATAGATAAGCCAATCCGGGCGGTACCGTATTATCATGGATTCTGTGTAGTTTAAGCGTGTCTTGCTTGCAACAGTAACGTACCCCCGAGGCCGTGAACACCGGCACGAACACCCACGACAACATCAGGATGAAGGGAATAGCCTGTTGAGAAAGGTTAAAATATATACAACACAACTGTTGATAGGGATATTCCTATTATTCTACCTCATGTTTACGTATCGCTATGAACTGGTATTTGTGTGAGGTTATTGCGCACATATGTCGAGGAATGCTTTTTATATTATTATTACTATTATTATTAGTAGTATCATTATTATGCACCTAATTGATTTCTTAGTACATTGATGCCATTTGCCCGGAAAGTTTCCATATATCGATATCTCTCTCAAAAGCTGAGGTGTATACATATACATCATTTAAGTACAAAATGCTCTGAACTATAGACTCTAGATACTTTGATAATTACTTTTTTATGTTAAGATTTAGACATGTTTTAATATGAGTTGATGTTGATATTGGCAACAATATCCAAGCTATATCACACAAACCGGTAAATAATCTAGTGTGAACCACACAAACCAGTGATTGATAACATGAACACCGATTCATATCATCAGACTACGATGACATATGAGTAAGCCAAAGAACAGGTGTGGTGCTGATTAACCAATGATCGCAATCGGGTCAAATCTGGGATTCTAACCCACAACAAGCAGATCCTGACAAGGGTTGTATGTGTGTACAATGCTGTAGATATATGGGATTATTACATGCCACTCAAAGATCATGCCGCCGATTCCAGCAGCAGCCGCAGTCCCAGACAGGCCCACGAAGATAGGAGCTCCGATATTGCTGGCAAATATGGAGGCGCCAATCTGAAACATGGCATCATCAGTATCGTATTTCTTCGAGAAGACGTCGTGTAAAAACCAAATGGGAAGAAACTTGGGTTGGATCTCTAATAGATGCCGGGTCACCGAATCCTATAGAAATGCACGCCTGGGGCGATATTTAATGGGTTTGAACACCGTTGTGTCGAACTCTGATATGTCGAATCCTCGGTTTTGTCGAACTGATTGTCCTGTCTCAGGGAACAGACATGTACTGCAGTCTGCTGCTGTTCACGTACAATATCATTTTTGTATCTTTAAGGTTGTATGTGACATGTATATTAATATTTTTCGGATTTGACGAACACTTAATTAGAAGATAATTCTTCATTTTGTTCAGATCCCTTCTCGTTCGACACAACGGTTTTCGAGTGTACAGGTGATGCTCGAAATTACATTAACTTCGATAAACTTGGGTTTCAGTACACGAGAAGCTGTTTCTGAATTGACCTGTAGATCATATTATTTGAAAATGTTTAAAATGCATCGCCGGAGTTCAAACTCATTACCTCACCAAAGGAAAAAATGTGAGGGACCTTTTGTTTTACATTCATGAGTTTGGATAATTCGAAATATTTTCGTGAATTTAGAAATCGGTATAAATGCTAACAGGCGTACGAATGGTACGATTATTCAGTTGAAATGTTGTTTGGGTTTGACAACCAGTGACGACAAGCATATGTTCTGGACACCAATGCTAACACAGGGTTGCGTGTATGGTGCCAAATACACAGATGAAACGTATCAAGGGTCTGCATTTAGAGGTTCTTGACAGAGTTTGATCTTATACTTGAACCTATGGTTATTTTCTAAAGTGATGCACGAACAGACCTTAAAGACGTACATTGAAACCACTGTGGACTTATTTATAACAAGTTCTAAACATCTACATTTTACACTAATTGTAGCTGTACGTCTGTCTAACTAGCATGGAATATAAAGAAAACAAGAGATGTTACTTGTTGTATTAACATGCCCGATAATTGTATTTTAAACATAAATAAACCAGAGAGATTATACAGACATCCTGAATCGGCTTGTTGGGATGAAGAGGACCATCTGTAATAAAGATGCGTGCTTGGGTATACCTTTTGTTTGTTTCTTGTTTAACGCCGCACTCAGCAATATTCCAGTTATATGACGGCCGTCTGTGAATAATCGAGTCTGGTCCAGACAATCAAGTGACATCATGAGCATCGATCCACGCACAATTGGGATACAATGACATGCATCAACCAAGTCAGCGAGTCTGTCCGACTGATCCCGTTCGTCGCCTTTTACGTCAAGCATGGGTTGGTGAAGACCTATTCTAGTCCGGATCTTCACGGGTCCTGGGTATACCTAGGTGCCGTTGTACAAAGCTATCTTAGCACGAAGGTGATCGTAACACCCATACCTTGACATAGACTTACGACAGTCGTAGCGTTAAGGTTGTTTTGTACAACGGCACCCTGGACCAGTCACGAACTAGATATCAATGAATCACATTATGGTTAAGTTGTCAAACTAAATAAAGTAAAAAATCTTGATCTCCAAGAGCAAACGCGTTTTTTCAGCTTTTACATGTAGTTTGTCCTACCGGGAAAAATGTCATGCTCTTCCCCGCCAGGAAATAGCCAGTGGCGCTTGTCTTGCTGGCTCGCACCGTCGCCTGAAATGGGAAGACCGTGGTTGAAACCAATTCCGTCAGACATCCTTGAAATAATACCTCGCCATTTTAATTTATTCATACTGAAACTTTATCCATTTATATGTAGCAATAGTGTTCTTTCTAATATAGCATGGTTGTCACGGAAACGCCCCAAAACGACATGTTGCCTTACACTGTCATGTCCACAACATTGATTTTGAAAAACTGGAGATTTCAAGCTTTCCAATGATACCAAATACATGCTATACCTCAGATAGACCCGTTCCAAGTTATGACACAAGGAACCATTGCTCAAATTACTTTGCTTTATTTACTGAGGAAAGGTCAAAGTTTTTCTTTCATACACGATTTAGGAGACTTTAAGAACATTTATTGTACCTAAAAAAGTCGATATATTTATTTTAATATCATAGATACAAATATGAAATATCTCGATAGCCACATGTTGTCGTAGTACAAAGGCATTGAAAACTGTTCATTGTCATGTCACATAAGGCCACAAGATTGCGCTGAACTCAGTATCTCGTGTGATTGCCCCGGGCAGCAATCACGGCTCTGCATCTCATCGGCACTGACTGGATACATGTACGAATTCTGCCCTGCGGAATGCTGTGCCATTCTGCTTGGCCAGTAGTGGGAGTGTCTGCGGCATGTTCTGACGTTGACGTACACGTCGATCGAGTTCAACACGCACGCACGCACGCACGCACGCACGCACGCACACACACACACACACACACACACCATGACACTACCGCCACCGAATTTGTCGCATTCACGCACACAATGTGGGGCAAAACGCTCATTTGCACGACGATAAACACGTTGTCTTCCATCTCGCCGGTCAAGAAGACATCTTCTAAACCACGCTCGGATCCAGTTTCTCAAATTCCAAGGCTGTGAGGTATGGCACCAATTCAAGCGTCGATGGATCTGTTGCAAAACAGGGACGATAACTGATCTTCTGGGTCAGATTCCAGCCTCGCGACATTCTACGTAGCTGTGGTATTGTGGGACAGCCAAATGTAGCGATCCTGTGCAGGGGTGGTAACTCTTGGTCGGCCGGTTCTCGGACGGTCTGTAGTGGAATTGAACTATATGTATCGGTCACAAAGGCGGCAGATTGTGCCGTGGTGGCCATTGAAGTGGCGTGCAAGAGAAGACTGCGAGTCCCCTCTTTAGATACGTCCTATGGCGATATTCCGATCGGCAGCGCTGAGTCTCGGTATTTTCGAACTTGAAAAATGTTGACAATTAAATGACAAATTATTGGCTTATGCTTGCCTTTTTATAGCCACTACCACGAGTTACGAATGCCCTAACTTGCACGTGCATTTTGCTTTACTGTTTTCCTCAATGACATTTTTTTAACAAGTGTGAAAACAATGCCGTCAAAGACATTGCTAATCGACAATGGCTGCGTTTTGACGCACCGTTTGTCGAATATCAAGCCACCAACATTTTCCAATAGCATATATCCAATTTATATACCGGATGTTTTGTGTAGTCAGATTCAATGAACTACATTCTACCTGTGCGTTTCCTTTTTTTGAAGAGTGTATTATACATACAGGTGTTTAAAATTGAGCAAAGTGTTTGCCAACATACTGTATTGCTATTTACTGTAAATGATACAATGTTGACCTGCCCTGTTTAAATCTCACCCATATTCCAACCGCAAGAACCACCACAAAGTACAGCGTTATAGTGAGGATGTCACCCCAGTGTAACGAGGTCGTCGAGCTGATGCTCTGGCATACGGGCTCCGCCATGATACATCAACTGGTCTTCTTGAAAATCTGAAATAAACCAACAATATCAGATGAGGTATTTCAGTTGTTGTTGTTTTATATCTACAATGTGTGTATTCAAATTTAATTCCACCTCAAGGAGCCCATTGAGGATGACTAGTTGTTTACTAGGGTCAATGATCCAGGCTGATTGTGCATCGAGTACTCCGACGACGTAGACTATATTCATGCTATCAACGAAAGAACAAGCTCAAGGCGAATTTGAGATTCGAACCTCGAGGCGATTCGTTTCTTTGCATTCAACCCGAGATATATATAATGTGTTCAGCCTTGGGAATTTACTCACAAGTAATAAATCATTACGGGTATTGATATTTTTCAATATATACTCTTCAAAAAAAGAAACTTGACATAGATGTAAACCACTTTTTGCCAAATATCTAAAATAATTACATTAATTGAGAACCAAATAAGTCAAACAGAAAGATGATGTGTCTAAAATTCGCGAAAACACATGCAAAGCACATAAACGTAGCGTTTGGGGATCAATTTTACAGCTTCATCCAAACGCAACCGCCTGTAAAAACCGTGCAGCACAGGATCCTACATTTAGGCATGCAGGTCCCCCTGCTGAATGGGTATAAAAATCCACATAACGGCTGTTTATACAGTCCTTATAACGGCAGTAGAGGCGCTGACAGAATGCCAAGACTGAATGCAGCTCAACGGAACAATGTCATTGGGAGATTACAAGGTGGGTCAATTCAGGCCAGGAACTTTGGCGTATCCAGACAGACAATCTCCGCACTGTGGACCCGATACAAGGGTGACAACCCAAGCAGAAGATCGATACATCCGATTGCGACACCTCCGAGACCGCACTACCACAGCCACGTCTACAACCACACAGATACCTGGGGTACGCAGAATATCAGATCAAACGGTACGCGACAGACTGAGGGAGGCTGGACTTTTTGCACGAAGACCTGTTCGACGTCATGTATTGACCCCGCGTCATCTGGCGGACCGTCTGATTTGGTGCCAACAGAGGGATAGATGGGCACGTGCAAGGTGGAGAAAAGTACTGTTTCAGACGTTGGGATCTACAGACGTCGGGGTGAACGTTACGCCCCCAACTGTGTGCAGCAGGTTGTCCCATTTGGCGGCGGGAGTGTCATGGTATGGGCCGGAATTCATCACGGTGGTAGGACGCCTATCGTGCATGTGGCGGGTGCATTGGCAGGTGTGCGTTACAGATACTTGATCCTACAGCCTTACGTTCTTCCTAACGTCAACGTTCATGGCGGACAGTTCAAGCAGGACAACGCACGACCGCATATTGCACGTGTTTGTCAGGACTTCTTAAAGCACAACAACATCCAGACATAACCTTGGCGAGCCCGGTCACCAGATTTGTCCCCGATTGAGCATCTGTGGGACGAGTTGGATCGACGCGTTCGCAGAAGTAATCCACCGCCCCAAACACTTCCGGCGCTTCTTTATGCATTTCAGCATGAATGGCAGCACATCCAACAGCGTGTTATTGACAACTTCATTGCATCTATGGGTCGTCGGTGTCAAGCGGTGATTGATGCACGTGGTGGGCACAACCGATACTGACATTTTCTGTACCCCTGTGACATTAACTGTATCGTGTACGTGTGTCTGTCTAGGTGACACGATTAATGTTTTGAACATTGTGTACACTGATCTTCAAACAGTGTTTCAATTATGGTTTATGTGTCCTATTTTGAAACAATCGCATAATATTTCATTTTGAAAGTCAGTGTCAAGTTTCTTTTTTTGAAGAGTATATTTTTCCAGGTGGCTTTCAAATGACATCTGTTCATTTCATGCCCAGGTGTGTCACATGCCACATAAGTTCACATAAGTTTACGGCAGTGTGTAAGATACTACTCAAAAGAACGTCTTTGGAGTAGTGTATGTCTAAGTTTCAAGGAGCTAGACTTAGCGCTTTAGTCAATTGTCCACTGCAGTAGGAGGTGAGGTGAAATGGGGTTTAACGTCGCGTCCAAGATTATTGCACTTATATAGCGACGTGCATGTATGTGTATGTGTTTGTGTGGCTGCTTGTACTAGTCCGGACTGATGCCGATTTATAGTGCTAGCTCACTGAGATAGCATGCCGCAGTTTAACATGAATACCCCACTCAGACAGAGTATACTGACTCCGACCAGTCCTTGTTTTAGCCCCTTAATGCCGAGCGTCAGACAGGGTAACAACAAGTACCATCTTTTAACGTCTTTTGGTATGACGCGGCCGGGGATCGAACCCCGGACCTTCCGCTCTCCGGGCGGACGCTCTTCCACTAGACCACGGAGGCGGTCTCACTGCAGTAGGATTATATATGTGATGCCTGTGTTCGATGAGGGCCTTATTCCACAAAGCGATCGTAGCGCTAAGACTGTCGTAAGTCTATGTTAAAGTATAGGAGTTACGGTCGCCTTAGCCCTACGATCGCTTTGTGGAACGGGGTCCTGTAAACATATAGAAAGAAATACAGATACTCAAGATGAAAAAGCTCGATGGGTAATAAAGCAGTATTAATAGGCAAGATAGACACAATTTTTATGGAAGTATTAATAGGATTTTCATTTGTTTCATGTGTATTTGAACGCACGCAGCTCAAAGTGAATTGGGTAATGGTGATTAATTTTGCGTATTTTCGATTAATCTGCAGCTTACATGGAATTGGTAAATCAGCAGAAAAGTGCGTTACTCTACCATGCTTCATCGTTTTCTCTTAAACGATGATGATCAGCCATCCCATTGTAAACCTTAGGTCTTCAGCAACCCATACTTGTCATAAAAGGCGACTATGCTTGTCATAAGAGACGACTAACGGGATCGGGTGCATGTCATCGTATCCCAAATGCGTAGGTCGATGCTCATGATGTAAATCACTAGAATGTTTGGTCCAGACACGATTATTTACAGACTGAGTGCGGCGTTAAGCAACAAACAAATGAACAAACATGATTAACATACATGTACCACCTCGCCGCCGTAACAGCGCTATTTACACTGCAATAACGATGATGCATAAACTGATGCGTCTAATACTTACAGTTGTGGCAGCAACTTCAAGCAAACATAAATCTTCCTGTCTGATCAGAGGTTTACACCATATTCCAGGTTATACAAACTGACATTCTCTCATCTTCTCGTATCATTAATCCCCGGACAAAACAGGATACACGAGACGCTACATTACATATTCGTGACCTGGCCAAGTAACAGAGCACAGACTGGGTTGCCATAGCGCCTAGGTGGAGGAACGTGGCCAGGCATATACCGTATTCCAAGTATTAAGCGTCCAGGGCGCATATAGGGGCGGAAGGGTAGCCTGCTGGTTAAAGCGTTCGCTCGTCAGGTCAAAGGTTCTGGTTCGATCACCATTTGTGAAATCCTTTGCCGTGATATTGCTGGAATGTTGCTAAAAGCGGCGTAAAACAATACACTCTCACTCCAGGGCGCATACTATAATGAAAGATTTGCCCTTGTTAAAGTGAGGTCAGTGAAATGTTTGTTTTTACGTCGAGTTAAGATTATTTCATTCATACAGCGATTGTGTGTGTCTGGCTGCTTGTGCGAGTTCTGACTTATACCGGATTTATAATTCTGTTTCGACCAGTCCTTGTTTTATCCCCTTAAAGCCGAAAATCAGGCAGGGTAACAACATGTACAATATTATAACGTCTTTTGGATCATGCGATCGAACCACCGACTTTCCTCTGACAGGTCAGAGGCTGTATCCATTACACCATGGATGCGGTTCCTTATTGGAGTGAGTTCGGATGCCAGAGGGTTTTATGCCATTTTAAAAGATTTCCAGCAAATGAACGGCTAGCTATTTGAAGTTCAGAGAAAAGCTTCCACGTAGTGACTTTGTTCAGAATCGATCTCAGTCCTTTCATTACAATTTTACAATGTTACAATGACGAATTCGTTCAGTAGTACTGTAGCATTGCTATGCGGCGGCGGGCAATAGACGAATTCGTTCAGGAGTGCTGTAACATTGCTGTGCGGCGGGCAATAAATTCTTCTTGTTTGTGCAAATTATGTGGGGGCTGGGTGTTACCGGTAGGGCAGGACATGCTTACCCTTTTCGCGTAAACCTCATATACTCATATAATTTACACAGCCAATTTAACCTTTCCGCCAAATTTTCATCTGTTTTTGTATATAATCTAGACAGGGTAATTCTCTTGCATTGACAATTCATATTAAGAATCTACGTTTACCACTTTGTTTCAATCTCAGTAGAGCTAGACTATATAATAACAAAACCGACTTTTATTTAATGTGAAAAAGTCGACAATCAGAAGAAAATCGCAGTGTTACCTGTAGAAAGTATGTATGTAAAGTTGTTTTCAAAACGTGATTGCGCAGTTCAAACGTCAGATGTCGGATTAAAACTTAGTTCCGTGCGTTCTGAGAGATACACCTACACCCTTATACTTCACTGTCAAAATTTTAAAATCCCTTCATATTTTCATAGTCTTGTTGATTTAAAAAAAAATCAAATTACCACTGCATAAACGGCCTAAAAATTTTGGACTTCAGAAGCAACACTAATACCACCAACAACATCACCACCAACACCAATATGAACACAAACAAACAAACCAAGCTTGCCGTAAAAGGCGACTACGCTTGTCGTAACAGGCGACTAACGGGATCGGGTGGTCAGGCTCGCTGACTTGGTTGATGCATGTCATCGTATCCCAATTGCGTGGATCGATGCTCATGATATCAATCACTGGATTGTCTGGTCCAGACTCGAAGATTTTGAGTTTTCTCACGATTCCGACCCCTCTTTTGTCAATGATCTTTCTAATGATCCTTTGTAAATTTTGTTTATGTCATTCTACAATCAAATCTGTGATTTACCGATTAAGAAACGGACGCCAATTATACAATTTAACAAATCATTTCCACAGAATCAACTTGATAAATTAAATGAAATTATTACTGTCACTCTCGATGCGGACTGCTCTTTGCATGACATTAACTGTTGCGTGTATGTTGCAAGTCGAACATTGTAGGAACTCCATACAGTTTCCAAAGACGATGAACCGCAAAAGGGTAATAAACAAAATCATCCAAATAATAATAATCCATAAAAAGCTTTGGAATTTAGATATTTATCTGCTTTGACTTTGGTGCTGCTCCCTTACTTCAGCTGGGTGTTTAATACGTCGAATACGGTATGTGACAACCACACGCCTGCAGGTGACAGCGACTCTCTATACTCGCGTATGTAAATATGTACAGTACTCCAATGTAAGGTCTACGCTGATATAGAAGACAAAGAAAACAAGACATGTCAAGGCCTCTCCCTAATTCTTATTTTAGACCGACCTGGTTTTACAAGATGCAATTAATCACACAACGTGATGCACATAATGCATGCTGGCAGGTTATCACGGAGAAAGTCAGTATTATGCAGCGACATAGCTACAACGCAGCGCAACAAGAACGTGCTTACACTTACATATCGTTAAATAATATACATGTAACATTAAAAGAAAGAAATTGTACCCTGACTGTACATGAAGCCAAGACATCAGACATCATTGACCTTGACATCGGGTTCATTACGCTGCATAGGACCCGTGAAGATCCAGGTTAGAATAGGTCTTGAACAACAACACATGCTTGCCATAAAAAGCGACTAACGGGATCGGGTGGTCAGGCTCGCTGACTTGGTTGATGCATGTCATCGTATCCCAATTGCGTGGATCGATGCTCATGATGTCAATCACTGGATTGTCTGGTCGATTATTTACAGACCGCCGTCATATAGCTGGAATATTGCTGTGTTTTGCGTTAAACAACAAAACACTTTAAGCTATTGGACATACAGTCTGAGTCAAATCGTTCCACATTTCTGAGAGCAACAGTCCAGAGGCAAGTGCGTTTATTACCATATCAAAGTCAAGTTTCGATGTAGGCCTGTGGACACTCTTGCCGCGAAAATATGCAAATGCAAATGCAGAAATGTCAAGTCATTTAAATTTCCATGCACAGAAATATAGTCCGGCACACCACGAAGATCACCCACACTTAGCTACTTGCCTTTGAGAAAACGTATGTTTTGTTAATCATGTGCTCTTCATGTCAATGACAACCGAAACAGTTAGTCCTTGGTCCCAGAAAGAAAATATGGCAAATTGGTACCACTTTGGGGGACAAAGGGACATATGCATTTTTGTACAGCCTAGTATACATTAGTCATATTATGATATGATAGCAAGGTTTTTACGGCAGCTTATTTATAGAAATGACCTTTGACATTTGAGGGTGTCTAAAAATAGTAACAAATATTGAACATTGGAAATGAAAGATATCCTGTCCCTTTTACCCATTTAAAGCATAAATATGTATGTCTTATTGATGCTTTAATATCATATAGCCATATATGTATGCTCATCTGGGTTGTGAAATGATAATATGTAATTATTTTAGACCTTTTTCGTATGTTGGACATGATTTTGTCCACCACAAGGTATCAAAATCCCAATAATAGAAAATAGAATCTGTTAGCAATCTTGATTGTCATTAAGGTTTTGTCTACTGATTCTCCATCCACAATTTCATTGAAACACAACTAAGTCACGGTACTGAATTCATGGTACCTACATGCACTAGTGTGTCCAAGGTCAAGGTCAACATGAGAGAACATGTCTAAATAGTCAGAGATAACATGCAATCCCTCTTGATGCTGAGTGGTTGAGATTCGTGAAGACTCTATGTCCATCTTGTTAAAGAGTGAAGTGCTGTCCTAAGAACTGTCTTCCAAGGTAAGCTGTTCTTCAACAAATATAGGCTGGATCTCACATAGAAGAGCATGGGGTGAATGACTACTGTCCTTGTAGTAATGTTGAAAATATTGACATCCACAAATCCTTTCTCTCTGTCAGTAATCAAGTTGGGTGAGATTTCAAGGTCATCGGTAATAGCTGAATGGCTAGTTCTTTGCAATATATCACATATATTCTGTTAGGGAAGCGCCTTGTCAGTGAAAGTGACATCTGAGTTGGGTGGAATGACAAGCTTCCCAACTCCTGTGCACTTGACTAATGTCTTCTCTCAAGCTCCCATTCCTGTAGCACGATGCCTGTGCTTGAGGGTTGTTTAACCAGCATTGTAGGCATCTAAGACCTGCCTTACTTCAGGCTTTTCTCCCAAATAAGAGCTGACATTAAAAAACACTTGATGATATCTACATAATCACAAACATTATCAGTTCAAGTCAATCTTTTTCGTCTCCACAACTGTCGCCTGACTCGCTCTCCTCACCAAAGTTGGTGCATGTTTGGAGTTTGCACATGCTAGTACAGGTCAGTCCATTTAAGATGCATGTGCAGCTGGGAAGTTTGCATGACTTGGGACACTTGCAGGCTAACAGCTGCAACACAGCTTCAGGCGCTGGAAGACCTCTCATCCAGTCAACTGCCAGGTCGTATCCATCAGCCGTCTGTTCCATGGTCCATCCAAAGCCATCAGGTGATGGGATGTTGGGCCTGTTGTCGAGAGCTTTCTTCCATATTGCTGTTTCATAGTTGGCTCTCTGTGAATGTTTCGTCAAACAATCTCTGCATGGTGGAAGTTGGTGGGATTCCATTTCACCTTTTTTGAAAGGAAAAGGTTGTGCCGCAATATATTCACATGCTTGAGAGAGAAACCATACAAAGAGCAAGTAAACTCCTCAAGTATGGAAAACACTTCTTCTGGCAACTTATGATGGAGTCCCAGTTCTTTGAAGCAGGCTTGGTACTTCTTGTTACCTTTAAGTAATCTCAAGGCAGACAGTTTACCTTTCCCAGCAAAGGAGCTGATGGTGTCACATCATGTGAAGGCATGGCATCCAAGAATGGCTTCAGATACATTTTGTCCCAGTGCCTTCCTAACATTGGATATACTGATGAATCTTGTTCTGTTTCTTGTTCCAAGCTTCATGTAGATGTCCGACTGCAGGTGGGAAAGCAAAGACGGGCATAGGAGAAATACATCGGTATCCTCAGAACATACAATTATGGTTCTGTAACCTTGAGTTGACGCATGGCTGGCATGAAGAGGAACAAACTTGGATGGGTTTTTCAAATCTGATGGTTGTGGTGGCCATGGCAATTCGTCTTTCATATTCTTTATACACTTGCGCAGTAGAATTGCAGCTTCCTGTACAACTTTCTCTGTGTCACTCTTTGTCCTCAAAACATTCAACTCTTCTTGCATCTTTTGATTTT